TTATAACTACCAAAATTGTACAATCGAAAACCATAATGTTTACTAAAAAAGGATTCTGAGAAAATCAGCCTAAGCGATATCAAAAAAGTTGAATGAAACCATCCCTATCACATTTCATGTTACACATTCATGTGATCGTACTGGTATATGTATAATACAGTAATTGCTATTATTGCTACGTATCGCTATCACAATACATTAATTGTATACTATATATCCCAAAAACAAAATTGCAGTTTCAATATAAAAAAAAACTAAATTCGAAAATAACATTACTGTATGCCATATCTATTTTTTATATTATGCCATTCATGGTATATTTTATCCCAATTCATTTCTTTACTTTCCTTTCCTTCTAATGAAATTCTCATAAACGCATCTAAAGTAAATGTAGTTAAAGAGGTACGCAAATGGGTTTTAATTGTATTTTGTTTAGAAAATTCATGTTCACAATCTACACTTGAAAAAGGAATGCTATTAGTAATATGAGCAAGTTTAATCATGTTAGGAAAAATATCAAAATAATCACGAACTAGAAAGGGATGTAATTCCTGTGAGAAAAATTCGAAAAAATAATATTTTTAAAACCAAGCCATTCTGTTATACACGAATCTACATCAATTAATGGTAAGAATTTTTGACCATTTATAGTCTTTGCTGTTCCATAATGATCAAATAAGATTTGCAATTCATTGTCTCCAAATTCAAATAATTCTTCTTTTTTACGTGGCCATTCTACTGGATTCAAAATTCTCATTGCTGCAAGTAAAGGATGATCAGAAAAACGTTCTTTAATTTCTGTAATAATTGTGCTTGCATATTTGTAAATATCTTGAAATAAATCATCAAAATCATGATTATTATATATAAGTAAATATGTATGATAATTTACGCCTGTTTGCTTATTGAATAGATTTGTATGATCAATAAAAAGTTGAAGATTATAGCCCAGATAATGATTTCGAACATCTAAAGTATCTACAAGATAATCTTTTTGAATGATTGTAGTTGTAACATCAATTATAGGAATAATATCTCGAAAATAAAGATTACTCTTTTGGAAAAATTTATTTAACGATGCCAAATGACCTAAAATATCAAAAATAAAATGAAAAAATCCCAATAATCGCCAGTCACATAATCATTGATACAAGTTATTAGCAACCTTATTATTGTCATGTTGAAGTTGTAAAAAAACAGCTGGTAATGTTTTAACAAAATTTTTTATAGCATCATACCAACCAAACTATTGTATGTCTTTTAATTTTTTTAAATGTAGCTCAGGACAATCAAGAATTTGTTGATATTCTTGAAGAATATGAACTCGTTTTTCAGAATTTTTATAATATTTGTATATGTTTCTTATAATAGTCTTGGCATTATTGAAATAATCAATTTGCTTTTGTGAATCTTTGCAAGCTAATGCTAAATGATGTGTTATGCAATGATTGTAGACAATATACGGACAAATTTGTGATAATTTTGCGCAACACCATTTTTACATCCAATTATTACAGATGCACCATTTGAAGCAAAAGCTACTAATTTGTCAATAATATCATAACTTTGAAATAGCCAAATTAATTTAGTAGTTATTGTTGTTGCATCGCTTTGATCAAGTGCTAATAATTGTAAAAAATGTGTTTTCACATTTC